AAACAATGTTTTGATGCATTGGATGTGCTGAATGTGCATATTAAGGCAGTACAGGAGGAGGTGCACATTAATAATCCTCCAGGACTGTAACATGCTCATGTTTAACCCAAACAATGTGTCATGTGACTGCAGTTGCTTCACATCCAGGTCGGAACACCTTCTCACCACAAACCAACCGCACCAGAGATCCTTTGGAACCGGACTGAGACCACCTCTTCAAGAAGGTCTCGGTCCGGTTGGTTTGGTGTGTTCACACCTGCACAAATGAACCGCACTGAGGGGACAAACCAGCTGGAGTTAGACTGAACCGAACCAAATAGAGCAGGTGTAAAAGCAGCCAAAACTTCACATGATTTGACCAGCTGAGTGTCAGGTGACATCATCAGCCGGCTTGAGTTGAGGTCAGACTGGCCCGTTCACACTGCTGACACTTTTCTCTGTCACGTTTTAAAACGGTGTCATCTCATCGTGAATCTTCAGTCTGAACTGGACTTTAGACGCCAAAGAGTCTCTGACAGAGTGTCAGTATTTAAGTTAGGAGTGACACCGGGTTGTTTTCTTGGCCCCGCCCAGGTCATTTGCATATTGAGATCTGATCTCAGAGCAGCAGAACAGAGATAACAGGAATGTGTACCTGTGATCAGGTGACATGTTGAGACCAGGTGGAGGTGACAGAGCTCTGCAGACTGACAAACACACACACACACACACACACACACACACACACACACACAGCTGGCTGCTCAGCTACTGTACTGGTCCTTATTTAGCCTCACACACCCCCTCCCCCCTCCCTCACCCATCCAACATCTACCCACCCGTCTCTCTGTCTTTAATATTGGATGGAGAACTTTAAATACAGACACCGAACCTGTCTGTCTGTCTCTCTGTCTGTGTGTCTCTCTGTGTGTGTGTGTCTCTGTGTGTGTGTGTTGGTGTACAGACAGAGAGACAGAGTCTCACTCCGTCCTGAAACTATTCTGAACTATATGTGATGATGGAAGCAAAAAGCTGCTGCTTTGTGTGTGTGTGTGTGTGTGTGTGTGTGTGTGTGTGTGTGCGTGCGCGTGTGTGTGTGTGTATGTGTGTGTGCAGCCTGGCACACAGTCGCAGTATGCACACTATGTACTCGGCATGCCAACTCAGCCTCGGCACTGCAATGCAGCGCTGTGCATTTGGCCAAGTCATGCCACACACACACACACACTCACACACACACACTTACACACACTGAGCACACACACACACAGTGTTATCAGAATGTGTGTGTGTGTGTGTGTGTGTGACAGTGTACACATGTGTAGGGAGTGTATTAATATTCAACCTTGCAGTGTGTCTGTAGCAGCAGATGATGCATGCTCTCCCTCTCTCGTCCTCTGCAGGGCAGTTAGCCGCATTAGCTCCCTCGCTGTCCTCAGATGACTCCTCCTCTTCCTCCCTCCTCCTCCTCCTCCTCCCCCTCCTCCTCCTCCTCCTCCTCCTCCTCGGCTGTCTGCTGTGTCTCTACCTCCCCCCTCCTCCCCCCCTCCCCCCCTCCTGTGACACACCAGACGATGCGTTGACTGAGCGGAGGAGAAGAAGAAAACCTCTCCCAGCCAGCCAGCCGTCCTGCCTGCTGCATGGAGGAGAAGCTGAGGAGGAAGAGGAGCAGAGAGGAGGTGAAGAGTGTCTCTGTGTACCTGTCTGTCTGCCTGTCTCATGTCTGTCCTCCTCTAAACTGTCTGTCTGTCTGTCTGTCCACTCTGAAACTGTTTCTTTTTCTTTTTTCAAACCGGCTGTGTGTCTCTTCATCTGTCCGTCTGTCTGTCTCTGCTCTCTGTCTGTCTGTTTACACTGTCAGCTGCCTGTCTGTCTGTCCCTCTGAGCTGTCTGTCTGTCTGTTCGCTGCGGCTGCACTGTAAACAACAATAACACTGAACTGAACTGAACTGAACTCTGAGACAGACTGAACTCACCTGGACTCTACTGGACTCTACTGTACTGTGGCTCAGGGCTGATCCAGGATATCAGTCTGACTGACCGGCACAAAGTCTCTGTTTTCTGATGATGATGATGATGATGATGGTGCAGCTCTGTGTGTGTGTGTGTGTGTGTGTGTGTGTGTGTGCAGTCGTGATCTGTTTGTAGATGATGAAGTAAATGAGCTGCCGTCACGCTGATGTCGTCTCATGTACAGTAACAATGCTGCAGTGACTTCACGGGAGCGTCCTCGCACTCTGACACAGTCCCACGCTTCCTCCCAGTGTGGAGGGGGAACTGGGAACCAGGCTGTCCCAGTTCAGAGTTGGGGAACTTTTAAAGCTGCTCTGTTGTTGTTTTATCATCATCCTCACTGTGACCTCGTCACATGTCCACGTTTGGTCATGGACTTTCCACGTCCACATATGACGTCCAAGGTACCCTGGGTGTGTTGGTTGTTGACGTTCTGGGACGCCGTGTCAACTTCAGCCTGTTACATGCATTGTCTGTTTTCAAAATACACTTCTGTTTTCACAGGAAATGTACAGTTTGCATACAGTTTCTTTCAAAATAAAAGCACAACACACACGTGGTTGGGTTTAGGAAAAAAGAACAGGGTTTGGCTTTACAGACTTACAGGAAGTGAACACCTCTCACTCACGTGAAAGTTGGTGGTCGTTGGACCCATGCACTACCCCTCCCACATGTCCTTCTTGGACTTTATATATCTTATCTGCTTACATTTTATTAAGGCTTAAAGTTACCATTAATTTAGTGTGTTTCCTCCTGACTGCTTGGTGCCTTTAAACAGTAACAGTGACCGGCTGCATATCGTGCCGACATAAAGGGCAGCTTTTTTCATCAGTACCTGATGCCAGAAGTCACTGACCAAGCGCTGGGTTTTGATGACTTCAGAGTAAGGTTGGTTGTTCATGTGAGAGACGCCCAAACTGACGAACCTGCTGATATTTATTAACTCTCTTTTTTTGAGAGTCTAACAAGTTCATCGCAGCAGAGATGGATTGTTTGCTAATTGCTTGCTCATGAGGAATCAAGCTGTCAGAATCACTGTGGGATTATTTGTTTTGTGGGACAATTTGCTGTTTAACTTAATCAGTAAAGAATAGTCCTAATGGTGCTGTCCTGTATCTGTTAGATTTTATCAGAGCAGGAACATTAGAACTTTGTGAAATACGTGTTGTCTTTTTGGAGTTTAGAACAAACTTTGAATTTGTTAACAAGGTCTGAAGTTTATTAAAGCAGACTGTAACCTAGACCGATACAGGATGTCATCATCTGCATAGAAATACACACTGCAGTGTTCTGTTGAAAAAGAAATATTATTCATCCATCCATCCATCCATCCATTAGGGTTAGGTAAAGAGACTCGAGATCTTTGGGCTCCTGAGACCTGAGCTTTTGTTCGGTACATATTTTAATTTCACTGAGCTGTTTGGGATCAATAGAACCTGATAAGTAAAAAGCTAAACATTATCTTTGATCAGGAAGTAGCTGTTTTTTTATATATATAAAATAATGTCCTCATATGGGGACATTGGGTTTATTTTTATTAAGTATAAAACTGCTTATTTCAGTGTCTGAACACGGTGGTGCCAAAACTAAATTACACAAAGTGCAGCAGATTTAAAAGTCTGTTTTTTGGTCATTTTGTAATGTATGAATTTTCCTGTCTCCAGACTCCAAGCTAAGACTGTCCTTAACTTGTTACTGTTGCTAAAATTGGTCAAAGTTGTTGCCATATCAAAGTATAAATGTAATTAATCATAAATAAACAAGTTCCAACCATTAAATCTGATCAGTTTTTGGACCTTGTTCATATCTGTGTCCGTTTGGCTGCAGACTGACTTGGCAGAGACCGCTGCCATCTTGTTTTTACATGGATTAGTGTATTGTGTTCTTGCTGCCACTAGATGGCACAAAAAGTGTGCACAGGCAAGGACAACAGGTCTGAGTTAGACAGAATGAAGTATTAGAATGTGATGTCCTCATGAGGACACAGGGTCACAGGAGGTTAAGGTGTGGACTGAAATAACTTTGTACAAATAAGTATCAAAACTTCTCCAGTGAAAAGATACCTGCATTCAGTCTGTTTTGCGCCAGGCATCTGGTCCTGGACCATCCCGACTCCCTACAGGCTCAGGAAACTTTCTGTTGCTGCCTTCTCCAGAGCCACTGTCCTCCCAGCAAATGCTCAGTTCAACATCTGCCTGGTTAGCATGAGCTAACACAGGAGCAGTGGCTAACATCAAGCACTGAGCTGTTTAACGGTCACAAAAAAACCTCTCCAACACAGAAACGGCTCGGCTCTGTCGTTAAACCCCTTAATAACTGTTAGGTAACGGTAGCCGTGTGATCTATCAGTTAGCCCTGTCACTGTATGTGTGCAGGCACAGAGCGACGGCATGACCCACCCTACTCTGCCCCTGATTAGTTTACCCTGACATTTTTACTCCATCTCCTCCCACTCCTCTGGTCTAAACCTTACCAAACCAACCAATGAAGACAACAGTGACTAGCCAATCAGAGAGGGAGTAGGGCGTTCACATCATGGATATCGAATGTACTCTGTTGGTATCAGTATCAATTTGAGGATGTTTGTACTGGTGTCATAATTTTTAAAATGATACCCATCCATCCATACATCCATCCAAGACTAGGAAACAAGTTATTCTATATATATAGCTTGTTCTGGGTCTGCCCCAGGGCCTCCTACCAGCTGGATGGAAAACCTCCAACAAGACGTGTCCAAGAGGATTCTGATCAGATGTTGAACCACCTCAACATGAAGGAGCAGTGGCTCGACGACGAGCCTCCTCTGAACTCCTCACCCCATCCCTAAGCCAAGCCACCCTATGGAGGAAACTCATTTTGGCCGCTTTCATCTGCGATCTCACTCCCTTGGTCACCCTCCAAAGCTCATGACCAGAGGTGAGGGTTGAATCAGCTGGTAAATTAAAAGCTTTGCCTTTAGGCTCAGTTCCCTCCAAACCAGAATTGTCCGGTACAACATCTGCCTCACTGCTGATGCGGTTCTCCTCCACCTGTCCACCTCATGCTCCATTTTCTCCTCACTGGTAAACAGGACCTGGAGATCTAGAGTGACTCTGTCACTCTTCATTACTCAGCTGTCTTGGCCAACATCAGGGACAGGTTCTGTGGAATGGCACGCCAAGTAAATGGACTGCACTTGTATAGTACCTTTCTAGTCTTCTGGCCACTCAAAGCGCTTTTACACTACAACTCACATTCACCCATTCACACACTGGTAGCCGAGGCTCCTATTCATTCCTACTCACACACTGATGGAACAGCCATCAGCAGCAATATAGGGTTCAGTATGTTGCTCAAGGATGCTTTGAAATGTAGACTTGAGGAGCCGGGAATCGAACCGCTGATCCTCTGAACAACCCACCTGAGCCACAGCTGCCCCAAGTCCCATATTTAAAAAAGGGTACCGGAGGGCCCAATTGCTGGGATATGTTCAGCCTTCCAGGAAGGTTTATTCCAGGGTGCTGGACAGGAGGCTACCACAGATAGTTTGACCTCAGATCCAGGAGGAGCAATCCAGATTCTTTCCTGGTTGTAGAATCGTGGACCAGCACTTAACTCTCGCAGGGCTGCTGGAGGGGTCATGGGAGTTCATCCAGTCTTCATGTGTTTTGTGGACTTGGAGAAAGCTTACAATTGCGTCCGCCAGGGAGTCCTGTTGGGGGTACTGCAGGAATACTGGGTGCTATGAGCCATCCAGTCCCTGCATTACTGGAGTGAGAATTGTGTCAACAGGAAGTCAAACATGTTTTCAGTGGGCATTGGCCTCAGCAGGTTGACCCTTGTCTGCGATTCTGATCATGATATTCATGTACGGGATAGGTGATGTAGAGCAGTGGTTCCCAACTGGTGGGGCACAGTCCAAAATTGGGTCACGGGTCAATTCTGAATGGACTGCAAGTGACTCACAACAGGTTGAAGTACAGTGAGTTTCCAGCAGAGTTTTTATTTTGAAGTATCTGTTCCTGTTGTAAAGTAAGTGACTAAGAGACAGCTACTTGACAGAGACAGAAAACTAGCTTGACAACATGGCCAAACTCAAGTATGACACTAAGTATTTAACCATGTGGACCTTGAACTGATGACTGAGGAGAAATCTGGACCAGTTGGGAACTGCTGCTGCAGAGGGAGGGAAAGAGTCCGCTCAAATATTCTGACAGGAAAATGATGAACACTACATTATCCCTCCATTCAGAGGGATAATTAATAATTCAAAGAATGTAACTTTAAACATCAGAGCTCTGAAAATGTTTGACAGTAACATCGAGCTGCTGCTACAAAACACAGGAAGCTGCCTGAGGTGAACTCGGCCAAAGATGGTCTTTGTATGGTCACATGAACTCATAAATGTGGGCATTTTCCAATTTGTGAGGTAGTTATCGAGCTCTTTGTGAGACGTTTTACTGGACTGGACATTATGAGATAAAAAATAAAGAGGAAATAGAACATATGCACATATCACAGACAAGATAATAATAATGAGGTGATGTCGTGGTGACTGCGACTGATGATCTTATATGTGACTCTGCGTTCAGTTGCTTCATTCCTCAGTTCAGAGATGAATGTTGAGGTGAATGATGAGCAGTCAGACTGAAAACTGTCACACGTGATAATTACATGTTTTCTTCTCAGAGATGGTGTGAGTTTATGAGATTATAATTCACAGACACAGACAGGAGAATCTTTTCTATCAGAGACGAACCCAAAAATCTTAAACATGTTGAGTCGAACTGTATTTTAGATATTTTTCTTTCTATGTCTTGTAAAGTAGATTTGAATATTTATAACTGACACAGTGAAATAAAGAGAAGAGGAGGAGAGGTGGAGGGAAGAGAGGAGAAGCTGAGAGGTGTCAGAGCGTCTCAGGTGTGATTGTTGTTTTCTCAGTTTGTTCTGCAGGTAGATGAGAAGGTGTGAAAGCATCCTCTAAACCTCTCCTCCCTCTTCCCTCCTCCCTCCTCCTGCTGTAGCTGTTTGTGTACTGAGTTGACCTCCATCCTGATGATCTTCAGTCTCAACCTGCCTGTCTTGCACTGACTCAACACCTCAGACCTCAACAACCCCCTCCTCCCTCAGCTCTGACCTCACTTACTCTCACCACAACATGGATCTGAAACGTTTTGGAGGCAACATCTGCAGGATCCCTGACACTTAAACTCACTGAACCGACCCCCCCCTCCTCTTCCTCCGTCAGTCCAACTCTGGCTGGTCAGGACCGTCTCCTCCAAGCCGTCACTTTCTGTCCCGTCCTCCCCTGGACCGACGGCGTCCACCATGTCGGAGGGCCTGCTGCAGGTGGAGATCCCGGACTTTGGCAGCAGCGTGCTGGGGAGCCTGAATGAGCAGCGGCTGCTGGGTCACTACTGCGATGTCTCCATCCTGGTGCAGGGTCAGGCCTTCAAGGCGCACAGGGCCGTCCTTGCTGCCTCCTCGCTCTACTTCAGAGACCTGTTCAGCTCTGCAGCCGACTCTTCGTCCTCTTCCTCCTCTTCCCAGGCAGTGTTTGAGCTGCCATCCTCTGTGACGCCGACATGTTTCCAGCAGATTCTGTCCTTCTGCTACACAGGGCGCCTCAGCATGGCCGCCAGTGAGCAGCTGGTGCTCATGTACACCGCCGGATACCTCCAGATCCAGAACATTGTGGAGCGAGGCATGGAGCTGATGATGATGAAGGCTTCGTCCTCCTCCTCGCCTCTATGCTGCGACTCACAGGTGGGTTTGGCCATGCCCACACAGCTGCATTTAGACCAAGTTAATCCAGGTTGTTACAATTTGTGCAATTCAGATAGGGCAAAAAAAAAAAGAAAACTAAAATCAGTCTTAGAGTGTGATAATAGCAACATATAGTGGACAATAGAGGAACTGCAGCTCATTGCTGAAGCTGATGATTAGTCGGAACATTCTCTAGCCACACCTCAAGCAGTGATGTCACAATTATTTTTTTTACCTTTCCTGTCAAAAATGGAGCCAATGCTTTAATAAGCAGTTCATGACAAGGGTCGATTTATTATTGACAGTGATATGAATCTTGAAGATAAGTGTCTGCACTCTTTATTAGCATCTCTTTTCATTTAAACTAACTTGATGAATTACAGACAACCTCAACGGACGAGCTTGCGGGCTTCGACACCCCGATGGTCCAGCAGCAGCAGCACAGCGCACCCCAGCTGCAGCAGGCCAGTCCAGACCAGCCATCCCTGAGCCCAGAGGAGCTGCTGCTGGCTGTTAGCAGGATCAAACAAGAGAGAGCCGATACTCCTCCCGCTGAGGAGAATGGAGGAGCAGCAGGAGGAGCAGCAGGAGCAGTAGGTGGAGGAGGGGGAGAGGATGCCAGGTGAGGATGAATTTCACATGAGGTCTGTCTGATTAATTTGGGGCTTCCCGGAGTCCTCGAGCAATGGTTTCCAATCTATTAGGCCTCATTTCAACCGCATGGTGTGACTCGACTCACTTTTGGTACCAGGTCCTTTTGTCCACTGCATATAGCACCTTGTCAGTGTACAAACAATTCTCAGCTGATTGCCATGACGACGTGCGTGAAACTGCCACAAAATCACCTTTGTTGTGCCACTTGCTGAATCCTTTCATCAGCAACCAAATAGAGGAACATCTGTACTTCTTCAGATGACCATGGTGTAGTTTCGTGGGCTGCCATTTTTTAAAATTTGAGTTGAGTGATGAGAAAAATTGTGGTCCCCATTGACGATAGTTAGGCTATTTTAAAGTGGTGGGTTTATGCAGGATGTCCCATGTTGTATAATGAAGATTCTCTCTTACAATCAGTGGAAGGCAGTGTTTTAACTTCACCTAATGGCTCAGCTTGCTAGGATCCTTGACCACGGTGGTGCCAAAAAAAAAAAACGTACCAGGTACTGTCTACAACGTATGACAATGGAAACCCAAAGAAGAGTGAGTCCAGTCGAGCTGAGCAGCATCATACAATGAGCAATGAGGCCTTTTTTTTGTGATCCCTCAAAAAAGCAAAGGTTACTTATAGACCCTCTTCACTGTATGTAAATCTCTACCAGCTCTGATCAGTTCAATCAAATAGACTTGGTTATACTTCAGTCTTCAACTGTTCAGGTAGAGTCTTGACTTCAAGCCCAAATTATAGTTTTGAAAGCCCATGCCACGTGTCCATTTGTGGACAACTACCCAATCCAAATGCAACCCTTTCCCTATGACTTCGCCCTTACCCCTTTGTTTTGTGTGTTTATGTTTCGGGGTGTCCTGATTTTTGCTGAGATAGTGGGGTAGAGTATCCTGACTCTTGTTGGGATAGATGGGTAGTGTCCTGATTCTTGTTGGGATAGAGGGACAGAGTGTCCTGATCCTTGTTGGGATAGAGGGGTAGAGTGTCCTGATTCTTGTTGGGATAGAGGGGTAGGATGTCCTGATTCTTGTTGGGATCGAGTGGTAGGGTGTCCCGATTCTTGTTGGGGTAGAGGGGCAGAGTGTCCTGATTCTTGCTGAGACAGAGGGGTAGGGTGTCCTGACTCTTGTAGGGATTGAGGCATAGGGTGTCCTGATTCTTGTAGGGATTGAGGCGTAGGGTGTCCTGATCCTTGTAGGGATTGAGGCGTAAGGTGTCCTGATTCGTGTAGGGATTGAGGCGTAGGGTGTCCTGATCCTTGTAGGGATTGAGGCGTAGGGTGTCCTGATTCGTGTAGGGATTGAGGCGTAGGGTGTCCTGATCCTTGTAGGGATTGAGGCGTAGGGTGTCCTGATTCGTGTAGGGATTGAGGCGTAGGGTGTCCTGATCCTTGTAGGGATTGAGGCGTAGGGTGTCCTGATTCGTGTAGGGATTGAGGCGTAGGGTGTCCTGATCCTTGTAGGGATTGAGGCGTAGGGTGTCCTGATTCGTGTAGGGATTGAGGCGTAGGGTGTCCTGATCCTTGTAGGGATTGAGGCGTAGGGTGTCCTGATTCGTGTAGGGATTGAGGCGTAGGGTGTCCTGATCCTTGTAGGGATTGAGGCGTAGGGTGTCCTGATTCGTGTAGGGATTGAGGCGTAGGGTGTCCTGATCCTTGTAGGGATTGAGGCGTAGGGTGTCCTGATTCGTGTAGGGATTGAGGCGTAGGGTGTCCTGATCCTTGTAGGGATAGAAAGGTAGGATGTCCTGATTCTTGTAGGGATTGAGGCGTAGGGTGTCCTGATTCTTGTAGGATTGAGGCTTAGGGTGTCCTGATCCTTGTCAGGATAGAAGGGTAGGGTGTCCTGATTCTTCTTGGGATAGAGGCTTAGGGTGTCCTGATCCTTGTTGGGATAGAGGGGTAGGGTATAGTGCTTGGGCTACATTACCTCCCAAACGGAAAATTTAACTAAAATCCAGCAGTGAAGTTGTTGCATTTGTTAGCACTTCTCCATTATCAGTGCCGACTGACAGGGTAGGAGTACAGGCTGCTAACGTCAGCCACCACTAGTGGCCAGGTTATGAAGCAGTGTTTGTTTTATTTGATGACTTGTTTGATTGATTAATAGCATGAAACTTCAGTTCTGAAAGTTATACCTCAGCCTTTAGACTGAATATAATCTGAACCCTGCCTGACTCTGGTCCTGGGTCTGGTCTCCATAAAGTACTTATTATAAAGCTAAAAAATGCTTTAACTCTTTCTTGTTGTATAATAAATTATTCCTACATCAAAAGAAAACCTGCTAAACACTGGACATCATCTGTCTCCTCCTGGTCTTACTAGTCATTGTTCTGTCCTCAGAGTGGACGTTTCTGGGGACCTCCAGACCTCCAGGAACAGCGCTCTGTGTTACCTTGGCGCAGGTGGTGGTTTGGTCCCGGGCCTGCAGTCCTACCTGCTGGCAAACGGCGGTCGCTCCAGTCCGGGAGGCTCCAGCCTTCCCACTGATTCCCCTCCCTCCCACCCCGCCACCGAGGAGGAGCTGGAGGAGGATTACTATGGGAGCACCGCCCACTCTGGACTCTACCAACACATCTACGGACATCCTGGAAACCCCTACAGTAGGTTACATCATGGTACACCTCCACCACATGAGCTATGGTTATTGAACTGGTTCTGTTTCCTCTGTAGGGTGTCTGGGCTTAGCTTTAGGAGGCAAGGAGCTCAGAAAACTGGAGGGAGCTTGGAGTAGAGCTGCTGCTCCTTCGCGTCGAAAGGGGTCAGTTCAGGTGGTCAGGGCATCTGATTAGGATGTCCCCTGGGCGCCTCCTGTTAGAGGTGTTCCGGGCATGTCCAGCTGGTAGGAGGCCCCAAGGAAGACCCAGAACACACCGGAGGGATTGCATATCTCTGGTCTGCTTGAAAGCATCACTGGGAGAGGGGTGTGTGGGGTGCTTTGTTCAGCCTGCTGTCCCCAAGACGTGACCTCGGATAAGCTAATGAAAAGGGATGGATGGATGGTCTCAGTCTCTAGTTTCAACTCTTCAGTGCAGCATGATGTTTATTTTATAAGTTATGGTCCCATTTAGAGTCAAATAAACCATAAACCAGGGAAGGCTTGAAGGCGGGGCTAACTAGTGATCAACAAGTCACTACTGTTGTGACCTATCAACCAGTATAGAGGCATAGCAATGCCTATCCTCCACAGCTCCTCCCTCTCATCTAAATATGGTCACCTCTGGCTCCAAGTATCCAAGATGGCGAAGGCCAGAATGCGGAACTCGAAGCTTTGAAACAAGAGTCCACATACAATAGGTGACATCAAGTTGGCTACTTCCTCTTCTTTTATACATTTTATGGTTTCAACACTTTGCGGGTTCACTTTGTTTGTCATTAGACTTCCTGGTTATGCTAAACACCCCTCTTTCTGTTTCTTATTGAACCAGTCCAAGAGAAGATGGAGATGCTCTCCCTCCCATTGGCTAACGAGCGTCGGCCCTGCGTGCTCGTTGGGCGGGACAACATGGCCCTCCCTGCCAGCCTGATCAGTCAGATCGGGTATCGCTGCCACCCGTCGCTCTACACTGAGGGAGACCCGGGAGAGAAGGTGGAGCTGGTGGCCGGTAAGACAACAGAACACCTGTCTGGGTGTAGAGGCAGAGTAATTTACACAATGAACAGTGAATGCAGACGCAGCTTCCTGTCAAGTCTGTCACCATGGTAACAGGATTGTTAAGAAGGTCATTAAAAACAAAACTGTCTGGAAGAGCTGACGTTAGTGTGTGTGTGTGTGTGTGTGTGTGTGTGTGTGTGTGTGTGTGTGGGTTTGTGTGTGTGTGTTCAGGTTCAGGTGTGTTCATGACTCGAGGTCAGCTGATGAACTGTCACCTGTGTGCCGGAGTCAAGCACAAGGTGCTGCTCAGGAGGCTGCTGGCTACGTTCTTCGACAGGTGAGTTTTTCCTGATCAGCTGTGAGGGTCATAAGGACAGAGGGATGTCGTATGCTGTAAAGCCCTGTGAGGCAAATTGTGATTTGTGATATTGGGCTTTATAAATAAAATTGATTGATTGATTTATCGATCTCTGTGAGTCTAGAAAGAGACACATCCTGGACATGGTTAGCTTAGCTTAGCATAAAGACTGGGAGCAGAGGGAAACTGTTAGCCTCGTCGTCTTCAAAGCTCTGAAATAACAACCCCCCAGGAACCGCGCCAGGCTTTGAAGCCAATTATTGTAGCAGCTAAAGATTGAATTAAACCGTCATGTGAGGTCTCTGGGCTCGATAAAACTTTTTCCCATTGACTTATATTATGAAAGAAATGTCTATAAATCAGTGGATACGTTTTTTTGAGCTTCACAACTCCTGCATACTTGGTTGTCATAAGTCTCCAGTGTGCCTTCTTTATGGGCCCCATAATGCATAAGATCCCAGTAATTTTATCATGGAAATAGAGTGAGAATTTTGGCTTCATGTGCCACTAAGCAACTTTCACTGGAATGAACAGGACCCTGCCTTCAATGCTTTATCCAGGTCTCTTTATACATCCACATGAAGTATGCTGCACCAACACCTGTGAAGCTCATGTTCAGGCTCAGAGAAAGGTTTATACTTTCTGATTAAATATTGTTTATGTCAGTGAGGGTGTATAGACGCTGTACAGATGTCACACCACTTTAAATTAAAGACATGGATGGAAGACCACAACACATATACATCAGTATTTTTCAACCATTAGAATAAACAGGTTTTTCATTGTAATCATCCAAACTGAATATGACACATCCAGGGAAACACTGGAAGACAACAAGTTGCTGCAGCGGAGTATGTTTGAATGCAAAAGCAGTGTCTAAAAGTTTCAAACACAAATCAGCTTCACTATAACTCGCAGCATTCACAGACAAACACTTGTCTTTATCTGGACACGTTTTCCAAACAAATACAACATGCTAACATTATTAGCACAAGCCTATGGCATTTTACATTGTATAAATGAGCCTAGCAGCTAGCAGAGATTTGCTCTACTCATATTTCAGCCAGGATAAATCACACACAGTGTGTGGAGGCTTTATTGTCTTCACAATTTATTGTTTCTTATCTGTGAAATTAAAGTAAATCAAAGCTTTGTTTCCACTGAGGGAAATGGTTTCAGCTTACAGAGACAGACAGGAAGTCTGCGTCACTGTGATTTGTGGTTACATTTCTGGGGAGGTGCACGTCAGGCTGCAGCGTAGGGTACAATGCAGGTACAGTGTCAATTCGACGCGGAAGTATTAATTCCACCATACAACCTTCTGTGGTTATATCAGTAACCTAGACTCCCTGGAATACCCCGCATTAGGATAGAAGAAGGTTTGTATGTACAACACTGGGTTACTGTGTACACGGTCCCCATGCGCAGTCAGCATATTTGTAGGAACTAAGTTTGTCAGTTTAAGTTAATTTTGCTTGTAGTAGCCTGACACACATTAACCAGTGAAAAAGAGGCCTTTTCTTGTAGTCCGGCGCTCCACTGACTCAGTGTAAGGAAAGGTGAAGGAAAGGTGATGTCAGTGACAGGGTTGGAGGAGTCAGACTTTGGTGTCAGTTTCATTAGAGTCAAATCAAACTATAACCATCATATCTCTTTTGTTCTCTGTCGTCCTTCCACCAAATTAAAAACACACATGATATGATGCTTACTGATGTTTTCTACCTGAACGCACACTTAAATTTTCCTTGTTACTGATCTCTAAACAGATCATGTCTCTGTCCAGCAGAGGCTGGGCTGCAGCTGAGGGACATTTACTTCCCTTCTTTGAGTTAGCTTCTAGTGGCTAACAGCTGCTATTTTTCTTCTTTGAGTTAGCTGCTAACTGTTGCTAGCTGCTGTTTAAATCTCCTGCGGTGGGTTGTGGGTTGCACATGTAACATGTTTTCAAAACATCACACCCGCCATTATCCCATCCTGTCAGCTGTTTGCTTCGGCGTTGTTGCTACCTTCGTTCCCGTTCAGAGGCGAGACAACTTTGTGATCATACCTTACGTACAGAATGGTGACGTGGAACAATAGCTTGATATTCGCACTTGACCAGGAAGTGTAAAAGTGGCTAATGTCTCCGCAATTTGTGGACATTTTCTGTTGCTGTTATTCTTCTTTGAGTTAGCTGCTAACTGCTAACAGCTGCTGAACAGTGCGTTCTGTTTCTACATGAATTAACAAAACATTAAGTTAATCACATGTTCACTCCGCTGGGCCATCTGGTGCGGTGCAGTCCAGCGGTCCAGATATTAGAATGTGCTTCGGCACTTTGCGTGCCAAAGACACGGGCATGGGTCGCATACGTAACACTTCACGAGGTGGAATAACAGCATAACATTCCCGCCCTAAACAGGAAGTGTAAAGGGTCTAATGAGACCTGTAAGTGGGTCCTGATTGTGATTGATCTGTGTAGCACAGATATGGGCAGTGACTCATCAGCAAGCTGTTATCTAAACATGTTGAATGATGGAGGCATCAGCAGACATCCTGTGACATCATCAGACATCTTATGACATCATCAGACATCCTGTGACATCATCAAACATCATCAGACATCCTGTGACATCATCAGACACCCTGTGACATCATCAAACATCATCAGACATCATGTGACATCAGGCTGTGTTAGATATTCCAGAACATTCTGACACTCAGCAGCTTCCTTCACATCCAGCTGCTGTTTTACATAACTGCTCCGTCACATTGTCTCGGGGGGGGGGGGGGGGGGGGGGGGGGGGGGTCTAATCTAAAGCTCAGTATAGGTGCTGATTGGGCTGTTATGGTATCCATAGAAACACTCTGGCCAATAGCTGTGGGACAGGGATCCGCTCCTCCACCAATGATCCGAGCCGAAAGCCCCTGGACAACCGAGTGTTAAACACCGTCAAACGTAAGACACACACACACACACACACACACACACACACACACACACAGTCTGACTCATGGATTTACATCTTGTTACTGCAGTTCGATGATACTGAGACGTTTCTCTCCTTTTCTTCTCACTCCTCCGCCTCCTCTTCCTCCTCCTCAGTTTACTGTCAGAACTTCGCTCCTAACTTTAAGGAGAGTGAGATGAACGTCATTGCTGCCGACATGTGCACCAACGCCCGGAGAGTACGTAAACGCTGGCTTCCTAAGATCCAGTCCCTCCTCCCCGACAGCCTCCCCGCCTCCTCCCACCCCCGCAAAGCTAAGAGGGGAGGAGCATCAGGAGGAGGAGGTCAGGGAGGAGATGCGGCGGTACAGCCCAGTGGCAGCCCCTTCGAGCTGGACCTGCGGCAGCTCAGCGCCTCCTACCTCGGCTTGGAGGCCCCGCTGTACAGTGAGCGACGCGAGAGGGAGGCGGTGGGGGAGCGGGAGAGGGAGAAGGAGGCCCCTGCCGCCCTGCTGCCTCACCTGCAGTTCGCCGGGTCCCGTGGAGGAGGAGCAGTAGGAGGAGGAGCCGGCGGCGGGCAGGCGGAGGAAGCGCTGATGGGAGGCGAGGCCGACGGAGGAGGGAGGCTACAGACTGAACAACCCCCGGACCTCCCCCTCTCTCTGTCCTCCTCTGCTTCTTCCTCCTCCTCCTCTTCCTCCTCACACCCCTCCCCTCAGCCTGCAGAGCCCGCCCCTCCTCAGAGGGGATTGGCCGACACAGAAGAGAGGGGGGCGGAGCCTCTGGAAGACAGCCAATAAGCTTTCTATCGCATCTGCCTACCTGTATGTAAATAACACAATAGCTACCTGTCCCCCACCTGTCTGTCTGTCTGTCTGTCTGTCTCTCTGTCTGTCTCTCTGTCTGTCCCCTACCTCACTACCTGTCCACCTGTCTACCTCTCTGACCCCAGTCTGTCCACCTTTCTGTCTGACCTACCTCTGTCTGTCTGTCTGTCTGTCTGTCTGTCTGTCTGCTCCTCTGTCTGTCTGTCTGTCTGTCTGCTCCTCTGTCTGTCTGTCTGTCTGTCTGCTCGGCTCAGCTGCATGTTAACAGCCTCCTGCAGTCCAGCACACAGGCCCATAGCAACAGGACTGATGATGATGATGATGATGATGATGATGATGATGATGATAATACTCACTCTAATAAAGCTTCTTGATAATCAGACGCTGTTTCCTGAGTGATGTTTCCTGCAGCGCCCCCCTCAGGACCGAGGTGCTTGATCAAACCAAAATATCAATACTATGTTTTCATCCTGACGATCAATCTTGTGTCAGTTGGATCAATAACGGGAAATGATTCAACCAGGGCCGCCCCTCCCTAAACGTAGAACACGCGCTGTGTGTAGGGCCTCATCTTCCATGGGGGGCCACATTTTGCGCAAGGACGCAATGGATGCGCATATGCGCTACCGTGAGGTGCGCGTAGAATCAGCTCGTGGAAGGAGAGAAGAGACCTGTAATCTGACCGCACATGCGTCGCTGCAATGATTGACAGCACTGGACACCTAACCAATCAGAGGGGTGCGCCGGCAGGTGAAGAGTTGTCGACATGTCGTCCAAAAGAGCCTCGGGAGTATGGGCGGGGCCAGGAGGTCGGACGCTCCCCAGAGAGGGGAGAGGGAGAAATAAAGCTAAATAAGATGAAAACAGAAAATAAAAATAAAATAAAATTTCACTTAGGGCCCCAGTTTGGTCAGGGGCAGACCTGGATTCAACTGTCCACACACAGAGTGGGGCAGTAACGTGTTAAGTGGGATTTATACTCGTCTGGCAAACCTGATGCACGAGGCCTACACCACTGTGAGCATTTATACCTGTGTGGTGGTGTGTCTGTGTCACTCTGCAGTTACACTTCCAAAACACTAGATGGCAGCAGGGCTGATAAGTTTAGTTGATTCAAAACAAACATTGAGCACATTAAACACACATTACAGAACGAAAGATGACAGAAACTCTGCTGCAGGAAGTCGGACTAAAACTCTTTCAACTGTGAAAAACACGTCGTCAGATCTCTACTCTGAAACACCGACTACAACCTGAAGCTCCAGGAAAAACTCCTCACCAAAGGTGAGCCCTCCTCGACCGCAGAGGTCAGCTGTAGCTCTGCACTGGCTAAACAACCACAACTGGATTTTACTGGTGGACAGCTGCAGACACAGAGAGGTGATGGAGCTGGTGGTTGGATATGTGCTGGATGAAATGTTGCTCCATGAGTGACTCTCCGACACTGTCCACACATTCCAACTTCAACAAGACAATCGTATGGTCACTGCTTACAGTACAGTACTCGTACAGCACTCAGTCCGTTTCCATGACGACAGAGGAAACAGATTTATAGAAACCCCTGTAAACATGTCAGTGCAGTGGCGTGCACAGACTTTTTGAAGGGCAGGGGCGAAAAGAAAAAAAAGGGCACATACAGTGCGTTCTCGCCACTGAAGAGGGCGAGGGCAGTTCTGTGTGTTTTCGAGGGCACATGTTTATATGTTATAGAAATGGCACATTATATAGCCTTCAAACAGACTAACTAGACAGACTACTCAAGTTAGTTTGTAGTTAGGATCAGCATCCACGAGAACTGTGTAGATTCAATGTTGGACTGTGAAGAACACAGAGACATGGATGTATGAAGGAAATAAATCCCTGGTGGGGTCTGAGGGTCCTCCCCCAGAACATTTTCAATTAAGTAGATGCCATTTCCTGTATTCTAGTGCATTTAACACCATATTAGCACCAGATAATCCAAACTGGTTCTGTGAGATATAGTTCTGGCTCAATATAGATCAAAAAAGGGCCCAACATAAAAGTCATTGCAACAGTAATGTTTTTACCACCTAAGAGGGCAGTTTATTATGTTTTTACCACCTAAGAGGGCAGTTTATCATGTTTTAACCACCTAAGAGGGCAGTTTATCATGTTTTTACCACCTAAGAGGGCAGTTTATCATGTTTTTACCACCTAAGAGGGCAGTTTATCATGTTTTAACCACCTAAGAGGGCAGTTTATCATGTTTTAACCACCTAAGAGGGCAGTTTATCATGTTTTTACCACCTAAGAGGACAGTTTATTATGTTTTAACCACCTAAGAGGGCAGTTTATCATGTTTTTACCACCTAAGAGGACAGTTTATTATGTTTTTACCACCTAAGAGGGCAGTTTATCATGTTTTTACCACCTAAGAGGGCAGTTTATCATGTTTTAACCAGCCAAGAGGGCAGTTTAGCGCGTTTTTCAACAATTGGGCCACGGGTACTAACAAGCTGAAAGGGGGCATATCTCCACCTATCGTAGAGGAGTCGCACATACTTGGCTCAATAAATGGATTCCCCTCCCGTGCTTGTATACTGGGACAAGGCCAGTTGGCCAGCTAGATGTCCTCGTCCATCTGGGACTGGAGCTCCACTTCACTGGGACTGGAAACACACTGAGTGATCCACAACAGGAACAGGACAGCAGCTCACACCTGTCCTTATTAACACCACGCCTCCTCTCCTTCTCACCCAGAATCCTCTGCTCCATCAGATCAGCTGATCGAAACAAAGTCCCCTGGTTAGATGGAGCTGTGCAGGATTTAGTTTCAGTGAATCAGAGGATGTTGCAGCTCCTGATATCATCCAGGTTATTTTCCAGCGTCTATACGGAGGCTAACAGGATGTTAGTTCAGCTGGTGCTTCTTCATCTTTCCTCCATGTTTACTGATGTTTACATTTGAAAACATCAACCTAGTTAGCAGCTGGCAGCTAACTAGCAGAAGTCTGCAGAAGGCGAGTTTACAGACTGGTGAGTTGATGTCCTGATGAGTGACTCTCAGCCACACACCACCGTCCAACACCAACCACAAAAATCACTCTGACATCTCTCCACTTTGTGCATGTATAGGTCCTGTTTGTGCATGTGTGTGTCTTTCAGACCTGTGTGTAATTGACAAGCAAGAGTGAAAACATTGAATTTCCCCTCAGTGATTAATAAAGGAAATAAACTTAAACTTAACTTAACTTATAAAGAACAATTAAAGAACACACTGTTTGTATTTTTAAACATTTTGTCTTTTTCTTTTTTGTTCTGTGCCCTGGATGGTTTTAACCTTTTCATTTTCTCATACTCTACACTCTCCACACACACTCCACCACCCATCAATACTCTGACTCACTGGTTCCCAGCTGGTCCAGATTTCTCCTCAGTCATCAGTTCAAGGTCCCACAGATTAATATCTTCAGCATCATACTGTGTTTGAACATGTTGTTGAGTTAGGTTTCTGTCTCTGTTAAGTAGTTGTCCGTTAATCACTCGCTCTATAACAGGAAACTGCACTTCAAAGTAAAAGCTCTGTGCTGGAAATTTGTTGTACTTCAAAATAAAGTGTGTTTTTTTTTACAAACTTGTCTTTTCCATAATTTCTCCTCAGGGATCAATAAAGTATTTCTGATTCTGAGTCACTCGCGGTCCGTTCAGTATGGACGAGAGACCCACTTTTGGACCATGACCCACACATTGGGTCGGCTAAACGTGACCACATGTGTGTGTCGGCTAAACGTAATCGTGTGTGTGTCGGCTAAACGTAACCACGTGTGTGTGTCAGCTAAACATAACCACGTGTGTGTGTGTCGGGTAAACGTAACTACGTGTGTGTGTGTTGGCTAAACGTAACCACGTGTGTGTGTGTCAGCTAAACGTAACCATGTGTGTGTGTTGGCTAAACGTAACCACGTGTGTATTGGCTAAACATAACCACGTGTGTGTGTGTTGGCTAAACGTAACTACGTGTGTGTGTTGGCTAAACGTAACCATGTGTGTGTGTTGGCTAAACGTAACCATGTGTGTGTGTTGGCTAAACGTAACTACGTGTGTGTGTTGGCTAAACGTAACCATGTGTGTGTGTTGGCTAAACGTAACCATGTGTGTGTGTTGGCTAAACGTAACTACGTGTGTGTGTTGGCTAAACGTAACCATGTGTGTGTGTTGGCTAAACGTAACCACGTGTGTGTGTTGGCTAAACGTAACCACGTGTGTGTGTTGGCTAAACGTAACCACGTGTGTGTTGGCTAAACATAACCACGTGTGTGTGTGTTGGCTAAACGTAACTACGTGTGTGTGTTGGCTAAACGTAACCACGTGTGTGTTGGCTAAACATAACCACGTGTGTGTGTGTCAGCTAAACGTAACCACGTGTGTGTGTGTCGGCTAAACATAACCACGTGTGTGTGTGTCGGCTAAACATAACCACGTGTGTGTGTGTCGGCTAAACATAACCACGTGTGTGTGTTGGCTAAACATAACTACGTATGTGTGTTGGCTAAACGTAACCACGTGTGTGTTGTTTAAGGAAAAAAACCATCAGTTGGTGGTGTTGTAGCGACATAGTGCTTTTATTTTGAAAGAGACTGTATCAAACTGTACATTTCCTGTGAAAACAGAAATGTATTTTGAAAACAGACAATGCATGTAACAGGCTGAAGTTGACACGGCGTCCCAGAACGTCAACAACCAACACACCCAGGGTACCTTGGACGTCATATGTGGACGTGGAAAGTCCATGAGCAAACGTGGACATGTGACGAGGTCACAGTGAGGATGATGATGATGGTATTGGAGATGTTGGGATCGTAGGGTGGGAGGAATGTACAGTAGCTACTGTAAAGATCTACACTTTCTTTTTTCTTTTGTTTCTATGAAAAGTAGCTCAGCTGCTGTAAGGGACGATAACTTTGACAAATAAAGAGAATATATTTTCAGAATAATAATAGAAAAGGAGTCTGTGAAGGAAAAACATACAGATCAACCAGTAGCTTTAG